TTAAAAATATTTGTTTTATAATTCAGCTTATCTGCCAATGAAAATAAAAATTTGACACGCCTGTTTTTAGTGTATTCTTTGTCATCCTTATGTAAAATCTCATTTCGTAGTGCCTGTAAAAGCCTCATTTTTGCAAGAAAAGGCATGAGTTGAAACACACGTTCGGACACCTTTATTAGAAAAACCGTTTTCCAGTAAAAAAACGTGTTGAAAAATATGCGTTTAGGTGCGTTTGTAAAGAGATCATCTTTTCAGCGAAAGAAATAAAAAAAACGCATCAAGATGCATAACAAATCAACGCGTCGTAACGAATAAAATAAAACATATTCGAACGACGTTTTTAGGTGCATTTTAAATTGAAAAAATGCTTTGTAAATATTAAACAATACATTTAAACGCGTCGTAAACGAAAACCGGTGCGTTTAGATGCGTCTCAGACAAAATAAGATGCATTTAAACGCAAAAGCAGCATTTTTTTCTCTGAAAGTTTGCGTTGGAACGCGTTTTTATACGAATTTTTTTTTCATGGGGAACCGGTTGTCTTGAAAAACAACTAAAATGGGCAATAGATTTCCCACTTTGCGTGTTGTGTATTAGTAGAATTAGGCTAAAAGTCATATGTGAGTTCCACATTTTAGCCCCGGAAGGGCTGCGCTAACAAGCTTTCTTATGAGTTTTCATGCACTAAATGTATTTCAAAAGTTCCAAAAGAAATCATGAGACTTCAGAAGACTTTCAAGACTTCATGGGACTTCACGACCGAAGTCTCTGCTGTTTCTCCCTTGATATCTGACGGCCACCGTACTTCCAATTCTCATTGATTTTTGATAGGAATTAAACATTTTTTTGATACCGAAAATCTTTCTAAAGTTATATTTGAAATACTTAAATGATTTTGATATAACCCTGTTTTTTTGTGCTCTATTCGAATTAGAAAGAATCTTGAAGAAACAATGTGGTCTTTGCTTTAATAATATCCTGTAATCGAACTCGATTTTTTCGAAATTCTACGTGTTCATCAAAAGTCTCTATGTTATAATTTTATAAATTTTCATCCGGAAAAAAGCGAATCAGCTATCTCACGAATATCTAGAAGCTAAATCTGCAGGTTGCAAAGCATCAGAGTATCCTCAGAACATCCGTGTGTTCAATTGTAAACAGAAGACATAATTCCGTTTTCATTTTAAAAGAAACTAAAATCTCTAAGAGGCAATATATGGATAAAAAAAAATCTGTTGTCAATTTCAATTTGAAAGACTTCTAGCTGCAGAAACGAGTTTTGTGCAAGGGGGAAACGACTGATTTTTTGATTTTGATGATGTAAAATACCTTTTTTTTTTACTTAAATGACTTTAAAATCATTAAACTCATTTATTTTGTGTCAACTTTTGATGCTTTATCTGAATATTTGTGTAAATGTTGACATTTTGTAGAGTTATTATAATCATTCTTAGAAGAAGAATGTGGAGAAACTATTTCACAAAATATGCCATCTAGATTGAGTAGAAATCTATTATTTTTTACTACTGTTCATACAACCATAAAAAGCTAACATACAATATTTTTCTCCTGTTATCGATCACTTTGCACTAAGTTTTGTTACAAAATGAAGCCTTAATCGATAACTATAAAATTTTTAAAGTTGGGCTCTTTAGGGACAAAATTTCCTAGTTTTCAATATTTACTTGCAGCACTACCATTAGTTCTAGAGGGTTTTCCAAATTTGACATAATATATGCACTTATCTTGAGGATTTTCAGCTGATTTTTCGGTTACATTAGCTTTCATATATCTAGACTCTAATGACTTTCTTGATATTTGATGATGTAGGAGTGACTTAAATCATAAAAATCAGTCGTTTACACCTTGGTTTTGCCTCTATGAACGAGCCCTATAAGGATCGGGAGCATAGAGATCGTCAGATATTCCCTATTGTTTGGTGAAATTTCAATGAAAATACGATATTCATGATCAATGCGATGAATTCTATCTGAATATATGTAAAACTTTTAAATTAAGGATAAAATTATTTTCGATTCCTGAAAGGATACTTCAAGCACAAAAAATTGTTAAGTCATATTTCAAAGTATCGACCATAGGCGGCGGAGCCACGAGGCCTGGGTAGGCACGAGCCTACCCTAGGTTGGAGAGGTAAAGGCTTGGGTAGGCTCAGATAAAGGCTTGGGTAGGCTCGAACCAGTACAGATAAAGGCTTGGGTAGGCTCGAACCAGTACAGATAAAGGCTTGGGTAGACTCGAACCAGTACAGATAAAGGCTTGACTAGGCTCAATTTAATGTAAAAATTTTCTAATATTATTAATTTTCGTGTTCTCCTGACAGATGACGCGTTACTACAAGGTCAGTCCACATTTTATCTGTTACAAACTCGTGTTCAGTGGCATACTGATTGGTTTTTGTTGACGTCTATATCTACGTCGAATTCTTTATTTTCAATATAATATAAGATAATTTAACTGTTGTTCTAAACTTCTATTCAAAATAACCACAGACGGCGGAGCCATTATGCCTGAATAGACTCAAGCCTACCCTACGTTGATGGAGAGTAGGTTTCGGTAGTCTGAAACTAGGACAGACCAAGGCTAGTATAGACTCAGTTAAATATAAACGTTTACTCTTATTGTTTAGTCTTCATATTCGTTTGACAGATAACGCATTTTTACAAGGAGTCCATATTTTTTCTACTGCTAACTCGCATCCAGTGAGGTAGTGATTAGTCTTCGTTGGCATCTATATCGTCATCGGATTCTTGGTTCTTAATATAAGACGGATGAATTGTTTTTCGTAGATTTCTATTTAAAATAACATTTGAATTTTAGGCACTTGAATAACATTACTCCTGTCGTATGCCGATACCAGCTAAATAAAATCAGATTATGTCTTTCTTTCACAATAAAACAACAAACGGCTAAGAACAGTTTTGATGAAAATTCATCTTCTGTTGAACTTGTATCGATCAGTTCAAACGATAGTTAAGGTGAAACAGGATTATATGCAAAAATGTCATTGTTAAAACCATAAAACCTTGACATCAACTTGATCAAGCATCTATTCTGATTTCCTTTCAAAGAATCAAGATAGAAAAAATATTTTGGTGTTGAATAGCATTATTTCTTCTTAGACTTCTCTTTTACTGCTTTTTAAACAGTCTTTTTAAGTTACTTCGTTAGTACCTGTTGTGTCTGGAAACAATAACGCATTAGATAGTTATCACACTTATAAAGAATTAAAATCTATCAACAAAAACCTATAACGCTCAACATTATAAACAAATGAAGAAAACTATTTTTCGAATCGCTCCCATCCATGTAAATATATTCGAGTTGAAATAAGATTAAAATCGATTATAAACTAACTAAAAATGGATTATAATCATACGACCTGAATCAATTTTAAATCATTTTTTACCTGATATTAATTGAAAATAACCGAAAAAAAAGCCAAATTTCATTGATTATTACGATTAGTTCTATTTAAAATCGATAAAAGTTTCATAAAAAAAAAGATTTTTCTTTTTGATAAATAAAAAAGTCTTCACGCGATTTTTACCGGTTTGCATCAATCTTATTAATTTTTTTATAACGTTTTAGCGAGAATGAATCGTAATAATCAATGAAATTTTGATTTTTTCGGTTATTTTCAATAAAAATCGGTTAAAAAATGATTAAAAATTGATCAAAATCGTAGGATGATAATCCATTTTTTTTCGGCTATTACCCGATTTTAATCTAATTTCAACTCTATTTTTTTACGTGGACAGACCTGGTTTGTCTGAAAAGTTGAGCCTACCCTAGAGTGAAATCGTTCCGCCGCCTATGGTATCGACCCAATAGAAACATCGAGAAAGACATTCCCATAAATTTGCAATACTCACTCGATTCAAATCTCGTGAAATGAAAAGCTGATAAAACCGCCAATCCTGCTTTTATAGTAAAAAAACAAAAAGGCTTCTGTTTCTTTTGTTTTTAGTTAAAAAAATCAATTCATCAGTACATACTTGTGCTCTTTCTGTGAATATTAGTTGGGAAATAAATGGTACAATAATTGCTGAAAATTTAACAACTGAATATTGTACTCCAAATTCTACAGATTTATGCAATCCAAGAGATATTTTTCTTGATAAAAGAAATAATATTTTCGTAATCGATACGAATAATAATAGAATTCAAAAATATATATCATCAAATATTATAACTGTTGCTAATCAAGGACTAAATCAACCTCAAAGTATGTATGTTGATAATTCAACTGACAATATGTATATACTTGATTTTGGTTTGAACGATACACTAGTTGGGGGTCAGTATGAATTTAACTATCGTGTGCAATTATGGTATAATAATTCAAATCGTGGAATAATAATTATCAATGGAACAGGTAGAAGTTATTGTATGTATATCGATCAAATGTTAAATATTTATACAGCTGAATATGATTATGGTAGAATTAAAAAATGGTTAGCTTATACAGATTATACGATCAGTATAACAATGTTTGTAGCTGGGTGGACGTCTGGTGGATTTATTATTTTACCAGCTTTACGATATTTTTATCTTGATGAGGAAACAGACATTTTTTATATTGTGAATTCATATGAATATACAATAATGAAATGGAAATTATCAAATAATATAAACACAGGTGAAATAATTTTTTCTATTATTTCACCTGTTTTATTGCATTATTCAAACAGAATAACATTAGATTGTAAAAAAAATATTTATTTTATTCATCCATCTGATAATGAATTATATCGAATTGATGCATCAACAAAACAAATATCAAAAGTTTTTGTTGTCGATAATAATAATAAATGGAAAAATATATTTTCAAATACGATTGGAATTAAATTTGATTCTTTTGGAAATATTTTTCTTATTGATAATAAACATAATCAAATAATGAAATTTTCAATCATTCAATAAATTTCTTTTTATATAAAGTGAATATATCAAATATATTTCAATACATAATCTTCTGCTTCTTTTATATCATCATTGTACGTAGATAACAAAAAATATGTTTTTAAACAGATTGTTCAAATGAACTATTTTGAAATAGAAAATTCTTTTAAGGGTGTGGGATGTGGGATGTGCGTGTGGGTGTGGGTGTGAATGAAGGTGAGAGTGTGATTGTTGGTGTAAACTAATCAGACCCACACATCACATCCATACCCCACACCCACACCCTAGAGTCTTGGATTATTCTTACTGATTGATCTGGTAACTCATTGTAAGAACATTAAAAGGTTGTCTATGAAAGAGACTGCTTTCAATTCCTATTTGTCAAGCAAAAATTCCTTTCTTCTTTCAATTGATAGTAAACTCCGTTTATCTACTTATTTTACGTGCTTTTTTTCAAATAGAAAAGTCGCAAATCTGAAAACCTAAAAATTCTTTTGTGATCAAGTGTGGTATCAAGAGAGTAAATGAAGATGACAAAAATCATGAAAATATAATAGCAGCAGTAATGCTAATGCTACAGTCAGGTGAAAATAGCCATGTGAAAACAATAAGGGTGTGGGTGTGGGTGTGGGGTGTGAGTGGGTGTGGGTGTGGGTGTGGGTGGGTGTGAGTGTGGGTGTGGGTATGGGTGTGGGTGTGGGTGTGAGTGTGGGTG